ACGGTGGAACAAGAGCAACGGTCTCAAGTTGCAGCAAGGGAAGCTTAGGTTAGATATAAGAAAAAACTTTCTCACAAGGAGGGTAGTAGAGCTGTCCCTAGGGGTGTGCTGGGCCCAGGACATACCAGCTGGGGGTGGCGAGCAGCGAAAGCATACAGCAGGAGTGGGCGGGGGAGAGGGAGCCAACGGCCAGACCACAGAGCGGGGACAAGGGGCAAGCAGCTGGAGTGTGGAGTAGGGCGGTTGGCGAGTGGCTGGAGTGTGGAACAGGTGGCATGCGGAAGCTGCGGCAGAGCGTGTATAGCACTGTCTGTGGAGCCCCACAAAGCATGGGGCCTAGGGCAGTCACCCCAATTTGCCCTCCCCTTTGGGATGGCCCTGAAGGGTAGTAAAGTACTGGAACAGGTTACCCTGAGAAAAACCTATAAGGATGGAGGTTATGACCTCTCTAGACAAAGCCTTGGCTAAAATAATATAGTTGGGTATGGTCCTGCTTTGAGCAGGAAGTTGGACTAGATGATTTCATGAGGTCCCTTCCAACCCTAATTTTCTATGATTCTGTGCACCCTTGCTGGGTACCAAAACTGCACCTTGAACTCCTCTGTGCTAGTGGAGACAGCTGAGCCAAAAAGCAGCTTCAAAATAGATTTAACTCTTCAGAACAGGTCTATAGGTGGAGGATGCAGCTGTACCCAGCCACTGCCATGACCTAATCGGCTTTTACTTTCCTGATGGAGCCAAGATCCTAGGTGTCTTACTCTGTTATACATTATATCCATTAGGCATGGATTTTCAGCCCCATGAGTTTCCAACTGAGATTTTTGCAAAAAACAAGATAGGATTAATTAATGCTCTAGATATAGGGACATGGCTACAAGATTGGAAGGCACCTCTGGGCCATGCAAGCCAATCCCTTGCTACCTCAGGTGACCACTTCATATAATCTCATTAATAAATTAATCATCAAGATCCAGCTGAAAACTAGGCTGATTATTTTAATCCTACTCCTATCAGATGGCTAGCTCTTCCAATATCATTATTTTAAACAGGGTTTGGTAATTTATGACCCATGGGCCAGATCTAACCCATGGAGCCACTGGATCTGGCCCATAGATGTGATGCTTCAGTGGCAGAGGCAGAGAAAAGAGACAGCAGCAGGTACTTCCCTTGTGTCAAAGCAAGGAGAAGCAGTGGCAGCAAATGCTTTTCCTGTATCACAGCACAGAGAAGCTGTGGTGGTAGGCACTTCCCCTGGGCTATGGCAGCGAGAACCAGTAGTGGCTGGGCCCTATTGCCCAAGATACCTCTGACCAGAGCTATCTCTTTCCAGACCCCAGGCTGAAAAAGTTGCCTACTGGTTGCTTAAACTTTTCTTTTCCCTTCCTGTTGCTTACCCCACCCCCTGCTGTATTTATAGAGACCAATCAGAACCAGCTGTATTTTGCTAGGTTAAACAAGCCAAGCTCCTCTTGTCTCTTCTTACAAAATAGACTCCATTCCCACAGTCATCTTAGCTGTCCTCTGCACTTGTTCCAGCTGAAATTCATCTTCCTTGAACAAGAAAAATGGGAATTGTACGCAGCATTTCAAATTAAGTCTCACGAATGCCTTGGAAAATGATGTTAGCTATTCCCTCTCACCTGGAAATACCTCATCTGATGTGTCCTAGGAAATTCTTTTCTTTATCACAGGTGCATTGCATTACTGGCTCATAGTCATCTTGTGATACACTATCCAGCTCTTTCTCCTCCTGTCATTTCCAAACAATGAGCCCACAGGTTATAGTAACTAATAAGAATTTCTTCTATGTGCTTGATCTTGTGCTGTGTACTATGAAATGTCATCCCTCTTCTATCACTCAAGTGTGCAAAAATAATCCATTTTTTTCCTCTAGGACAGTATGATTTTCCTCTTTATTGAAAATGTCTCCCAACTTTTAATCATCATAAAATTGCATTAGTTCATTCTTACTTTTAGTCCCAAAGTAATAAAGAAATATATTTAATAAAAACACACCTGGGACTGATCCTTAAGGAACTCCACTGGTAACACTCCTTCCTGACAGTTCATCTTTGTTGTTGACACCTTCTCATCACATTCCAGTTCTTGGACTAATCCACATCTTCTCCATCTTGACTAATAATAACACTGTGGTATCACATTTATTCTATCTGAAGTTCAGAGAGATTGGATGATTGTACTTGCCTTGCCTAAAGAGTCAGAAATCCCATCAAAGAGTATTACCTAGTTAGTGTGGCACACACCACTTGTACTAAACCCATGTTGCATTATACTCCATTTTCCATTTATTTCTATGCATTTAATTGCCTGTATGTATGCTCTGATTTATGATTCATCACATGAAAGGACCATTTGATGATTTGTTTTAAAAGACTGGCAAAGTGGAAACTTTGGAATCATTTGGTCAAAGGCTTATTATAGGATATTTTATGTTGATCTATTAAACTAGTCACTAGTGATCTAGATACCCTTTATGTGGAGATTTATTTTAGACAGATGATTCCTTTGCAATACTAGCCAGCTTTGGATCCCAAAAGTCTGATGTCTTAATCCATAACAAGACACATCATTGCAGCCTGATTTTTAGGAAATGCCGACTACCATTGCCTATTGACTTAAACCAAAGTTCCTAGGGTTTCTGTCCTCCCTGCCTTGATGGGAGATGTCTTTTGGCAAGAACAGAATACTCTAAGTGTCATGATATGCTGCAACTCCTCACATAACATCCTCTCTTTATTTGGGAACAAGATGGGAAAAACTGAAATTGGTTCAGTATTATGACTACATTTCTCAGATGAGAAGCCAGCTCTGTGTTATGTTGTTGCTGGTTAGTAGCTTAGTTCCAGCAAACAGAACAGGATCATAGATAATGTATTTGCCTTGGATATCAGGCTTTATTGGTAAACCAGAAAAAATGTGCAGAGCAATACACAGAAGTAGTTGCTAACAACTTCCTTTTCTCCAGATTATTTTGAGGTGTTGTTTTGGAGGTTTTTTTAGATTAATTTCTCTTAGAGATAAGACTTATTAGAATTTGGGAGGTCTTCTTTGTTTTCCAGTTCTCAAACTAAGGACTATTTTAGAAAAATATTTCTTGTCCATAGAAATAAGTGATCATCTATCAACCTGATACAGTTTCAGGCAGAACTGTGAATTGAGAGAGATCATACTGTAAGATTAGCTTTCAAACCAGAAGTAAGAAAAATATAGCCAGTGATCTGAGAGCTAATGAGAGGCCTCTGTGGATTTTTTCTGCTAAGGTTGCTCCTTCTGTTTTGCATTATTGTTCTAAAACCCTTGACTCACTGAGAGCCAGGTGGGTGGTGTGAGCAATAGAAAGTTCTTTCTATCCTATGTTTGGAGGTATCCTACCTTTGCTGACTAAGGTCAGTTAACTGCTCTATTAGGTGATTTTTGTTTTACTTCAAAGGAGAGCAGGCAAATTTTAGAAACAAGGAAGCAGGGATAAAAGTGAATGGGCTTAAACAGCATCTGGGAAGTATTTGAAATTAAACTAATCCCAGCTGTTGTGTGTATCACCTAACAACAAATACTTAGGCACAAAAAAAAAAACAAAAGCAAAAACTAAACCACAATTTAGATGAGGAAAAAGAGGCAACAATGGAGGGGAAGGTAAGAAATAAAAAGGCTCACAATGGCATACAAACAAATATATAAAGCAAAATTAGACTGATAAACTTCATTCACTCATGGGGAACTGGAATATTTATCCTAGCAAGAGAAAGCACTCAAGTATATCCAATAGAGAACAATAGTGATCTGGCAAGTTTAGGAAATAGATGCCTACTTGTCCTACTCACCCTAATGTCTTGAGTCAAATCTTGCGGGCTCTTTTTGAGGTAGCGCTTGCAGTGAAGCCAGCTGGAAACTTTCTGAATAAGGGCTATAGGATTTTTCTTTGAGAGAAAATTTAAACCTAGGGTAACCATATGCCCTGGTTTGGCCAGGACAGTCCCAGATTGCATAGGTCAGTGCTGGCCAGTTGGTCAAAATCCCAAGCCGGACTCCAGTGGGGAGGCAAAGTGGCGTGGTGCACCAGGCAGTCGTGCACGGCTGCCACTGTGCAGGAGCAAGGTGGACAAACTGGAGCAGGCACCACCCTGTCCATACGTGCCAGGTCCAGTCCACCCGCTTGCTCTCAAAGCAGCAGCAGTGCCTGACTGCCCACCTGCCTGGCACACCATGCTATTCTGCCTCCCTGCCAAACTCCAGGCCAAGACTTTTGACCAACCAGCCGAGACCAACCTACAGAATCCAGGACTGTCCCAGCCAAACCAGGATGTATGGTGACCCAATCTAAACCCAGAAATAGCCTATTTGTTTACAGTCCTCTATTTGTGTTTAATCTGAATCCTTTCAGCTTGCATTATAGTTGCTTTGGTAGGCCTTTGGTGTGTGGAATTTAAGTTAGTCTAAGTTAGCGTAAGTGAAGCTAAGGTAAGTAGTGTAAAAAGAACTGAGTTGGGCAAGAAAATTTTATCAGTGAGGCTAGCCCAAGCTTAAGACCTCACATCTTGATTATGAGTTCATAAAGCTTGAAAAGCATTTTAGCTTGAGTGACAGGATGACACAAGAATGTCTTCTTTCTGACCACATTTATCAAAATGTTCATCAAGTTATGTTGTAAGCCTTTGTTTGAGGAAGGGGATAAAATGGGACTCCATTCTCTGCGGTGTGTTTCTCTGGCACCTTTTGCTGAGGTCCCCTTCAGCAAACATGATAAAAATCCAATACTTCCTAAAAATGTAGTCTCCTAATTTAGGTAAGGTCTCTCTAACAGGCTGGCCACCTGTTTAAAAATGCTTGGAATTTAAGAGGTAAATACTGTCAGTTTGTAAGACTGCTTATTTCTGTTTGGATTATTTAAAATATATATCTTGTGGTGGGGTTTTTTTATTTGCTAAAATATTCATAATTTGAGAATCTTAACCAAGTTTGTTTTTGCATTCACTCCATAGGAAGACTCGTACTGGGCTGTCAAAAGTAACCTTTAGAGGTCAGCAAAGGTAGATAGCATGATCTAGTGGACAGGGCACTGGACTGGGGGTTAGAAGACCTGGCATCAATTTACAGCTTTGTTACTGAGCTTCTATATAACCTAAAATCAATCATTTCATGCCCTTGTTTCTCTTCCATTGTCTGATTCAAATGGAAGCTCTTAGTTGAAGGGACCTAACACTATGGAGGTCTGATCTCCATCCAGCTTTAGATACTTCTCTGGAACACCTAAACTATAACAACCACATGCTTAAATGCTACACAGTGGCTGTGTCTACATGTGCATTAATGTGCTTTTCCTAATGCACATTAAATTTAGTACCTTCAATATGAGGTACTAAATAAATGTGCATCAGGCTGCCTGAAAGCACACATTTTTAAAATGATGCTTAATGCAGAGTACATATTGGTGTAATTGCACTGTTTTTATGTGACACTTTAATATGCAGTAAAATAGGCTACTGCACATTAAAGCACATGTGTAGATGTGCCTTGAGAGCATTTCTCCATTAATTAGGACAGCTCTTTGTTTTACAGGAAAAAATGAATGATATGCTATTTCTGTACATTATGTAGACATTCCCTTATGAAATATATCCTTATAAAGATATATGGATTATTGTGCAGATGCTGAAGCATTAATTTTTAGCAAGAGTTGGAACATTTCCTAAGTGAACATGAAGCTAATACTTTTAAGAGGCTGAGTGAGCCTTGAGGAGGAAAAAAATTTCTGCAAACAATTTGTACTCAGAGGTATCTAAAACCAGAATTCCACAATTGTTTATCACCTTCCTGTAAATGGCTGGACAGGCTAGCAGCTAAGATATAGCATGAGCTTATACCAGCATTTATAAGTGTGGGAAGTAATATGGTGCCTTGCAGCCAGCTGTGTGCCAAATAAATAGCAGTCACTGAAGAGCTAACACTCTAATAACATAACCCGGAGAAATACAAAAGAGAGCAAATACAAAATCCAAACAGTTGTCAAGATTCCCCTACCAGGTACAAACAATTAGTTTTATGTATCTTCTCTCCATACATTTGAAAGAAATTGTTCTTTCCATACTACTCACTCCTCAGAGCTAACCCCCAAAATAGATACCAGAAACCAAGAAGACTTGCACAGAGAATAAATATTAAGGCACAGAATGACTCAATAAACAAATAGGACTGCACTAATATTATGTTCAGAACCTAGAGGAAGAGAGTTAACATGGATCAACAGGAGAAAGTATGCTGAGTGGGAAAGTGTTCCAAAACTGTGCTATGGACTTGCCACTGATAAAATAGCTTATTTAGAAACAAGTGTTCGGACCCAGAGGGTAGTAATTGTTGGAAGTCAATCATCATGGTGTTCTGTGACCAGTGTGGTCCCCCAAGACTCTGTCCTTGGACCCATATTGTTCAACATCTTCATTAATGAAGTGGACATTGGAGTCAGAAGCGGACTGGCCAAGTTCACTGATGACACGAAACTTTTGGGCAAAGCATCCACACCAGAAGACAGGCGGGTGATCCAGGCTGACCTGGACAGGCTCAGCAAATGGACAGACGAGAACCTGATGGTGTTTAACACCAAAAAATGCAAGGTTCTCCACCTTGGGAAGAAAACTTGCAGCATCCTTATAGGCTCAGCAGTGCTACGCTGGCTAGCACTACGGAAGTAAGAGACTCAGGGGTCATCATTGACCACAAGATGAACATGAGCCTGCAATGTGATGCTGCAGCTAGTAAAGCGACAAAAATGCTGGCTTGCATCCATAGATGCTTCTCTAGCAAATCCTGGGACGTCATTCTCCCCTGGTACTCGGCCTTGGTGAGGTTGCAGCTGGAGTACTGCATCCAGTTTTGGGCTCCACAATTCAAAAAGGATGTGGAGAAGCTTGAGAGAGTCCAGAGAAGAGCCACGTGCATGATCAGAGGTCAGGAAAACAGGCCTTACAACGACAGGCTGAGAGCTATGGGGCTCTTTAGCCTGGAAAAGCACAGGCTCGGGGTGATCTGATGGCCACCAATAAGTTTATCGGGGTGACCACCAGGATCTGGGGGAGCGTTTGTTCACCAGAGCGTCCCAAGGGATGATGAGGTTGAACTGTCATAAACTACTGCAAAACCATTTCAGGCTGGACATAAGGAAGAATTTCTTTACTGTCTGAGCCCCCAAGGTCTGGAATAGCCTGCCATTTGGAGGTGGTTTAAGAACCTACATTGAACACCTTCAGGAGTAAAGTGGATGCTTATCTTGCTGGGATCCTATGACCCCAGGTGACTTCCTGCCCTTCAGGCGGGGGGCTGGACTCGATGAACTTCCGAGGTCCCTTCCAGCCCTAATGTCTATGAAATCTATGAATTCAGTACATACTTCTGAGTGAGAAATTTCATTAGGATGAAGTTAAGGTCATAAATATTAACCAGTTCCTCAAGAGGCAAAGCTATTAAGTGTGTTTTATATTTTTTGAAAATATCATAAATAGTAGGAAATTTGGAAATTCACAGCACCATTACACTTTCAAACACTAGGAGGCATGTAAATCCACAGTTAACACAACCCAAAAATATTAATGAAACCCTTAGGGTGTTTATACACAGGCTCCAAGAGGTAGGAGGAGGGGAATGTTTCATTTAGAGTGGCTCTGAGAGCCACTCGAATTAAAGCACCCAGAGCATCATGTGTATAAGTGTCCACGTGCTGAAAAATGGTGGCAGGGGTGCTTTAACTGAAGCTCATCGAACAAGTTTCAGTTAAAGTGTCCCCACGGCCACTTTTCAGTGCAAGGACACTGATGCATGTGATGCTGGATTCTGCTGGAGCTCAGTGATTACCAGATTGTCTGCTCCAACACACTGTAATTACAGTACATCAGAACAGCCTTGCTTCACATGTATAGGCAAACACCCTTAAAATGTCCTGCTGATTTCCCATGCTAGATATCTCATTAGTATGGTTTGACAAATGCAAATACCTTGTTGAAGAAGTTTTTTATAGCGCTTTAAGATAATTGTCATTTGTGATCATGAATGGTTTAAATGTGTTTAAGTGCACTTTGTATAGTTAAAGTTTAGTACATTTTTAATTATGTTTTCAACTCTTTTTGTACGTTTCGTTGCAGTGTCAAGGAAATACGGAGTACCCAGCTTTGGTTTTGCATATCCATGCTCACACAGTTTTACTGTGAGCCTCAACTCTTTATGCGTATCCCAGTATTTGCATGCCCCACATTGCAGTAGTATCTGTGTACCCATAAGCAAGACATGTTTGTGAAGTCCTTCACAATAGAATATTTTCTCTTTCCTAAAGACTGAACACGGTCAGTTGAGTTAAAACCTCCCTGCCTTAACAGCATGTTCCTCTATAACTTGTTCTATAATTTACATAAGGAAAAAAACTGATTTCCTATAAACTCTCAATATACCACAGAGTCTTCAAACTTCGTTAGTAAATGGATTCTGTGGACATTAACAAGAAATATTCGTAATCACTTCAGAAAGGAACCAAGTCAAGTTATCTTAATTTCACATAGCTACTGTCTTTTGACAAGTTTAAACGTACACCCTTTTTAAAATGAAACCAGAAAGCAAATGTTTGAGTAATACTCAGCATCCTTTTTTAATTCATATGATCTCCACTGGTGGAGAAATGTTTTGACTACTCATCCCTGCTCACAGTACAGTGTAGAAATATCCAAGCCAACTATAATACTGAAAACACTACAGCTGTATCTATGTGAGCTAATTTTCCTTTGCTCACATGAGCTAGCTCAGGTGTTCATACACCATATTGTTTGGATATCCTGCATATATCAGATATTGTTTCTTTCTGTATGATAAATAGCTACTGAAAGTAGCTGGGTCCTTCTCTGGGTCCCAACTTCATGACTGTTTGTAACATTCATTGTATTTCAGTGTACCCTCTGATAACTGGGGGAATGGTTAGCGTGAATAACCATTTATGAATTTTATGTCTTCTAAGTAGGTCAGTGCTATTGTTAATGTTATACTGGCCTAGCGATAAACCTTTTGTTTCTGCAAGAAGAATGTCTGAGTGTTTTAATGTCTGTTCTTCTGTGATAGCATGAGTGTAGCTTGCACTAAAATATTTGTCCTTTTTAATGGATCCATTAATTTATTCCCACTGTGGAAAACCTTTGTACAGTTTCAATGTTTGTAGAAAATAATAACCACCCTAAAGGATAAGAGCTCTTTAAAGAGCAACCCTTCTTTCACCCAGCCATTATCCATAATTGCCACCTTGCATTTTGTAATTTTCAACATAAACATGGATATTACACCATATGAAGCAAAAACAAACTGTGCACTCCAAGGGGAATTTCTTGTTGTTTTTATTTTTTAGAAAAGTATAAGGTAGTATTTTCCTAGATGAGAAAAATTAATCTACCAAGCTCAGGAAAGTAAAGTCAAAGATTAAGGAACAATTTGTGGTTTTGAAAAAGAAACATTTAAAGATGAAAAGAAAAACACATGTTAAGATTCAAAGCTTAAAACTGCATCCAGATGTTTTGAATGGGTACAGTTTGTTCCTATCTCTGCAGGTAGACAATAGTAAATACTGTCATCTTTACTCTATCTAGGTAAAATGTACTTTGTTGCTACAGCAATGGGAGTCTGCTCACTGTTCTATAATTTGTAAAAAAATATTTTAATAAGCAACCATTCAACTAGGTGCAAAACTTGTGATGTCTGGCCAATCTGTTGACAACATGCAGCATTAAAATTAGTTCTCTTTTGCCTCATTTTCATCCAAAGAGGCATTAAGTAAACAGCTGCTTTTTCTGCTTAGTAAAATAAAATTTTTAAAAACTTTATTAGAGCAAGTTGGGCTCTTGGGCTACAAACATGAATCGTCTCTTTCCAGAAGATTCTTGTGGTTGAAGGATACAGGAGCAGTCTCAGGTAATAATTCAAGATATATTTACACAAGTGTTTTGAAAAGAATGGTTTGTATTATTAAGTTATAGTTTTGGCTGAAATCTGAAAACATTTCAGTCTAGTACATCTTTTAGGATACTGGATACTGATGCCTTTTATTGTTGGATTATGTAACCAGTAATCAAGAACTACACCATTCCTGTTACCAAGAGTCAGCATTTGTATACAAAGCTTGCTATTGTTTCTAAGTGCGTAAGAAGATTACAACTGTATGATACATTTATTAAATAAAGCCAGAGGAGCAGCATATTAAGGATGAGACACATTAACTTCCAAGTTATAAAGCTAACTTTGCTACTGACTGGACCACGTGCCTTGACTGAGTGATTTTTCAGGCCAAATCTTACTCCCCTCTATTGGGCATCTATGTGGACCTGTATATGTAAACGTAATTCTCTTCTATGCTGCTCAAGCTCCTGCAAAACCATTAACACATATACTTCTGTATTATACCATCATCATCTGACCTTTAAAACCAGGTCACAAAAAAGCAGAAGGAAGGAAGAGGACCCATTCACCTTTTGTATTAAAAGTTGTTGGGTTTTTTTCTGGGACTTAAGCAGGGTGCAATAGCTTAAGCACCTAGTAGACAGAAAAGAATCTGGCCCTTAGTTTTCCTACCTGTATGTGTAGTGTATCCTGTACTGAATCTCAGAAAAGCTATCTCATTGGACTGTTATGAAGACTGATTAATGTTTGCAGAGCACTTTAATACAACATTTTACATTCTCAATGTTAAATATTGGCATTCTAGTGGGTTTACAAGAAACTGTTCCCTAGTGTCCAGTAAATGTCTGAAGTCATTGAAAATAAAGGTATCAAATACAGTAGAAAGCTGAACAGCTGCATTCCAATCATTCAACAGCATGTTGCCTCACTTTTTCTGTAGTGCAATTCCTTTCTTTCTCTTACAGTCCTACAAAGAGTTCTTGCTCTTCTACTATCAAGAACTCTCTTGCTGTTTCTGAGAGCTTGAAAAAAATAACTTTGTCAAATCCATTATAGTACTTTACATGCAATCCGTTTTTCAGTTGCTTATTTTCAGTAGTGTTAGAGGTTACCAGTCAAATGCATGCTATCATAACCACACAGGGGTCAGTCCAAATTAGTGTGTATTTTTGGCATTTTACGGTGTAACCCTGTCAACTGAAAAAGAATAAGAACTCTTGGGGATATTTTTATTGGTTTTTACAAGTGAAATCCCTGTTCCAAAGTCCAGGAGCAACATAGAGCACCAAGCATAGGTAAAGAGAGAAAAAAATTTTGGGGGGGGGGGCAGGTGAGCACAAATGCATGTCATCCCCTCCCCCCCCAGGTGGGAAAGTCTGCAAGGAGGAGGGGAAATGGTGGCAGGGGGAGGGAGTGGGGCTGGGACTGGGCAGGGATCTGGGGGGGCTGGGCCCCTTCCCCCACACCCAGGGTCATTGCCCAGTACCAACTTCCCCCACAAAACTGCCACCCCCGCATCCTTTCACCAGCCCTAGCTACCTCCCTGCACCAGCCCTGCACCACCTGGGGGGCCCAGAGCCAGGGGCTGGAGCAGGGCCAGTCTTGGCTGCACCACCGGGCTGGACGGGACAGAGCTCCCAGGATCCTCATGCCTGCCCTGCCACACCCCACTCCAAGTCATCCCCGGGAAAAGCCCAGTGCAGCCCAGTGGCTCCTCCAGAGGCACAGCACTGGGGAGCCAAGGGCGGGGGATGTGGCCCCCTGATCTTTGCACGGGGCAAGGGCAGGCTGCAGCTACAAGCTGGGTTCTGCCTGCTCCCTGCCACCACACCTCACTACCACTACTTTGAAAGTGGTGCAGCATGGCATTGTGTGTCCCGCCACTGAGCAGGCTGGGCAGTGAGGCACATGGTGCCACACCATGCCACTTTCAAAGCAGTGGCAGCAAGGCACAGAGGCAGGGATCAGAGCCCAGCTCACAGCTACAGCCCGCCTTTGCCCCATGCAAAGATTGGGAGGCCAAGTGCTGGCCCCCTTGGCTCCCCAGTGCCATGCCTCTGGAGGAGCTGCCAGGCTCCGATAGTCCCATGACCCAACCTGGCTGGGGCCCCATTCACCATGAATGGGGCCCCGGCCAGGCTGGGTTGTGGGACAATCCCCACAGTACAGCAGGGACTGGGGCAGGAATGAATGATTCACTCCTGCCCCTACCCTTACCCCACTCCCTCCTGCACTGTGGGGGTCTCAATCTGCTCCCCCCAACCCAAGCAGTCATAAAGAAAGAAGGTTTTAAGAAACTTACCTGCCTGCTGGGCTGGCTGTGATCCTAGTTGTGGAGGGTATCTCAGTGTGTGCACCCCTCCCCCCGTGCTGCAGCAGCCTGCAGCCAGGCTGCTCTATGGCCATACCTGCCACCTTGCATTTGTGGGAGAGGGAGGCTGAGACCAGTTAGCACCCACTTTCACTGCCTATGCCACCTAGAGACAATGGAACTGATTATACATAAAAGTATGAAGCAGGAAGACTAAAAAAAGCAGAAATACAACGAAGTATTTAATCTATTTAAATTATTTAAGTCATTTTAGGAAATATACACTACCACAAAAAGTAGAAAGTTTTCATATATAAATGTGATTTTTTTTTTAAGCTGGTGGTGCATCTTTAATGAAGTTTAAAGTGAAAATCCTACAATGTCTGATATGTATAGTCCAGCAGAAATGTATTTTCCTCTCTTATGCTCCATTGCTTCTCACAAAAACTCACACTATTTATGGACTTATTTCACCTCAGTTGTCCTTTCTGTTTTATTTGTCTAAATTGGACAAGAAGTTCTTAGAGTGGGAAACCTGATTTCCCTTTGTTTTATAAAGCATCATATAAATTTACAGAGATAGCTAACATTAATAATAATTATACTGGACTTATTTATAACTCACGGAAGGACCCGTTCTTTGCCTGGGTCATTATTTTTCTAATTGTAGTGTTTGTTTATTTTCAAAGAACTTAGCCTATTTAGGTAAAAATATTGTTGATTTGTAGGAAAACATAGTACAACATATTTAACATTTAATATTTAATGTGGAGTGACATTTCAAATGACATCCAAATGAATGATCTTTATTGTAGAACTTTTTTGTAAACAATCTTTGCAGTGTTTCCTGTTGGTGCCAGTATATACAACCCACTTCAACTACCAACTCTGGCGCAACCCACATATGAAAAGCATAGCTCCCTTAAATGGTCACTGGAAGCTCCAAAGCAGATCAAGTGAAAAATAACCCACCTATAATTTTCCTTCTGTGGTAATCAGTGATTTTGGAAGGTTTAGAGTAGATAGGACCAGCCATTCTCAAATTATAAGTGAACATATGTACATAGACTTCATTTTATGTATATAGATAGTGCTTTCAGGATTGTTACAGTAGGGGCAACCTAATGACATAACCACTCCTGTGTGACTTCCTGACTGTTTTTGCTTTTAAGTTGCAGTAGTTATGGGTGTGTCCACCTGTCTTTACAGTGTATACAATATCAACTCATTCTGTGCCAAATTAAACTATTCTCGAACCATAAGCCAAGAAATATTTCCATATTTCACTGTGCCATCTGCTCCCCTCTCTCATATATTTTTAGCTCACATTAAAGGTCTATGTAAAAGGACCTTTTGTCAATTTGGCTTGTACATTTGATTTGTGAGGTTATGGTAAGATGTGTTCCATTTTTACTAGTTTACCTTTAAAAAATGACTATTTTATGTATCTCACACAGCTACTTTTAAAAAGGAACCATCAACTGTGTTGATGTTCAGCATTGCCATCTCAGTGAAATCAAATTAGAAATAGGCCTGAAAAAAATCCCTGAACTAAGGCAGACTCAAAGATTACATAGTGCAGACCTCTGTGCAAACTTTGTAATAGACTCTGATCTCAACAGTGGGTTAAACCACCCCCACCCCCCAAAAATTTTGTGAACATTTGTATAAGAGCCTGAGCTTTCTATATTAAGGTCACTGATATACACCAGAGTCCAGGGGTGTATCCAGAAGAGGTACAGTGGCATGATTGCACCCTGCTTTCTGACCATATGACAAGAGCAGCAGCCCACCCAGGACGTTTTTTGTAAGCAGGCCCTCCTTTTGCCTCCATGACCAGAGGCGTGATGGGATGTAGCCAGCCCTGCAGCACCTGTTGCTGCTCCCACACCCCCCTTCATAAAAACCTGGATCCATCTGCTTCAACAGCACAGTAAAAAGCCTGGTTAAAATTCTCAGCTGTACTTTGTAATTTCAGGAGGTTCCATAAAGTTGCAAAGATGCAAGGAAGAACTTGTGCATCTAGTGCTTACAAGGTTGTTCACCCATGTTTATCATGTTCTTAGAAATGTAAATTTGATCAAGAACATGTTCATACACATTCCTCTGTCAGGAGCCTTGAAATGGAATAGTGTGAAACTTTCAGTCTCATCTGCATCTATCGTGCACAGTGAAATATGGTTCATTTATCTTTATGTTCATTCAAGGTATAAAAGGAACCAGAGTTTTAAGATTATTTTGATGTATATCACAGCCACTTTTGAAATGAAAAGTTAAGAAAGTGCTTTTCTAATGATTTGTATGCCTGTTAGCAATATACTGTCTAGGAAAAATAAACTAATTACCATAAATTAATTATATTCAGTACTGGCAGAAGCCAAGGTACAAATAAGAGCAGTCTTTATTTGATGCAAAATGACCCCTGCCTTTGAACTTTTTATATGGGCCTATTTTGATTCAGACATCAACACTCACCTGTCACAATCAGTTCAGTAGGTGCCCTAATTCATTTTTTTAACTTAAAATGCAAAATTATAGTAAACTGCTCCAAATCATCAGCTGAGGGAATTCCCTTGACTAAATGGAGCTGTGCCAATTTATACCAACTGAGGAGCTGATCCAGCTGAGTCTAATTTGCATCAAATATTACATCAACACATATATTTTGGTAAGAATCAAAGAGGAAAGCCTTGTTTGCAATCTGCAATCATTACAGATTCATTCTTTTTCTTTCTAATATTCTGTGTGAGAGAATTATTTTTTCTTATGATACTCTACAGACTTTTGAAGCATTCATAAAACAAAATGACAAGACTCCCGTAGCTAATTAACCATGCATAAATTTCCACATTCTGTTCACAGAGCCTGTGTAAAATAGTTGTTAGTACCACAAAACAATGAAGTCTAATCTCCAAGTGGTTATTTGGTTCTTGTATGACCATTTCATATTTTCTCTCAATTCAATATTTTGATAAATTCTTATGAACTTAAAAAAAACCCCTCAGAGAAGTGAAAGTGAATCAGACATTGAAAAAGTCAGATTGGATGTTCTGGGGAAGGGGACTCTTATCAAGAGATAGGATCCACCTGACCAAAATTGGAAAGAGCATCTTTGGGTGTCATCTGGTTAATCTAGTAAGGACGCCTTTAAACTAGGTTCCATAGGGGATGGCAAACAAAATCCTCCAATAACAGCAATAACAGAAAAGACAATCCAGAGGGGAGAGGACTGGAAGAAGTTCAACTCAGGGAAAGAGTTAAAGAGCCAAAGACAGCAACAAGGGATGCAAAAGTAAAATAAGCAGATCAGGAGGCAAAATACATCAGATGCACATATGCAAATACGAGAAGTATAGGAAACAAACCAGATGAGCTGGAAGTCACAGCCTGTGAAAAGCACTATAATTTGACTGGGCTAGGGACAGACATTTCACATAAACTGATTTAAGTGATCAGAAACTGTTTTAAACCTGCAACAGAACATAAGTTCAGTGCACATAAACTAGTTTCAAAATGGCTAAAACTGGTTTAAGATAAACCTGATTGACTGTAGCATCAGACTTAACTGATCTGGGTCAAACCAATTAATGCAATGTCTGTCCTAGATACCTTCCTGGGTTAAGTTAAACCTGAGTCTGCATTGTTTTGCAGCCCTGGGCTGGGCTGTGCTCTCTGCTCTAGAGAACAGGGCTGGCCCCGCCCCTGTGCTCCCTAGCTAGAGCTCCGGCAAAGACTGCAGGCACAGCAGGGTCTGCCAGAATTCCCTCCACCCACCTCCCCACCCCATCGCTGCTCAAGCAGGGATGTATTTGGGTGAAGAACAGAATGTCCTGGGGCCCATTTTTTTAAATATTTTCATTAATGATTTGGAAGATGGGATGGAGTGCACCCCCAGCAAGTTTGCAGTCAACAACAAGCTGAGAAGAGTAGTAGATACACTGGCAGGTACAGCTAGAATTCAGAGTGACCTAGAAAAATTGGAGCATTGGGACACAAGAAATTGCATGAGGTTCAACAAGGACAAATTTAAAGTCCTGCACTTAAGACAGAGGAATCCCATGAACTGCTACAGGCTTGAGACCAAATGGCTAAGCAGCAGCTCTGCAGAAAATGTCCTGGGGGTTATAGTGGACAATAAACTGGATATGAGTCAACAGTGTGCCTTTATTGCCAAGAAGACTAATGGCATACTGGGCTGCATTAGTAGAAGTGTTGCCAGCAGATAGAGGGAAGTAATTATTCTCTTCTATTCTGCAGTGGTGAGGCCACATCGGGAATCCTGTGTCCAGTTTTGGGCCCCCACTACAGAAAGAATGTGGATAGGTTGGAAAGAGCCCAGCAGAGGACAATGAAAATGGTTAAGGGGCTGGTGCACATGACTTCTGAGGAGAGGCTCAGAGAAGGATTATTTAGTCTATAGAAGAGAAGATTGAGGGGGAATCTGATAGCAGCCTTTAACTATGTGAAGGCTGGTTTCAGAGAGGATGGAGCTAAACTGTTCTCAGTGGTGGCAGATGCCAGAACAAGGAGCAATGATCTCAAGTTGCATCAAGGGAAGTTTAGGTGTGATATTAGGGAAAAATTCTCACTAGGAGAGTAGTAAAGCACTGAAACAAGTTACCCAGAGAGTTGATGAAATCTCCATCCTTGGAGGTTTTTAAGGCCTGGCTTGACAAAGCCCTTGCTGGAAAGATCTATTTGGGGATGGTCCTGCTTTGACCAGGGGGTTGGACTGGATAACATCCTGAGGTACTTTCCAACCCTAATTTTCTATGATTCTATGAAGATAAATATGAAAGATAAAGCACTCATGTAATACTAGGGATTTATTAGAGAGCATCAAGTCAGTCTTCAAGTATCTGAAGGGCTACCATAAAGAAGAGGGAGAATATCTTTTTTCTCTTACTGGAGAGAGCTGGACATGGACAAATGGCTTAAAGATACAGCAAAGTAGGTTTAGATTGGATATCAAGAAAAACTTCTTCACTGTAGGACAGTGAGGCAGTGGAACAGACTTCCTAGGGAAGATGTAAAGTCACTATCAGTGGAAGTATCCAAAAAAAGTTTGAATAATCATTGATCAGGCAGGATCAAGTTGCAGCTTTGCCTATGCTATGAGTATGTCCCATGCATCTGGGTTTTGCTGGTTGCCTCATGGAGTCAGGAAGGATTTTTTTTCCACTCCTCTTCACATCAGGGTTTGGGGGTTTTTTTGGCCTTCCTCAGAAGCACTGGGTATCTACTGCAGGCAAGAAAGGGGATTTTGATTGGCATGTGCCAGTGCTCTTGCTGTAACTAAAACCTGCAGGTTCTTGGCTAGATGCTCTTGTCCCTTTGCTCAGGATCAAACCAGTCATTGCATTTGGGGTCAGAAAAGATTTTTTTCCCCATGATCAATCTGGTAGACTGTGGGGATTTTGCCTTACTCTGTAGCAGGGGTTGTGGTCCTCTTCCTTGGATCATTATAGCAAATTTTAACAACCCTCACAGCAGGAGGATACTGATCCCTGTTGTCCCACTTTTTTACCTGTGCCAGTATTTGCTTGACAGGGTCAAGTGTATAGTTTTAGTATAGAGTAGACAAGGATCTGTATGGGATGCTTTGGATAGGGATGGTAATGCCTTAGGCAGGGGGTTGAAATAGATGAGGTCTCAGAAGTCCCTTCCAGCCCTATGTTTTTTATGATTCTATGATATTCTGATAGAGTTTCAGGTTCTGGACCCAGGCATGCATGCATGGAGAGCTGTTTTGCTGACCAAATGAGCAATTATGCTATAAGAGTGTGTGTCTGGGCCATGCTAAGAAGCTCTGTTGGCAAAGGCATGCGAGTATAGACAAGACCAAAGGCCAGTTTAGCTCTTTACTGAGCAACACAACAACTGTAAAGTTCACAGCCAAATAGATACTCCACAAGGTCTTCACACCGAGAGCCATCCAAAATGATATTTTACAGAGGCATAACAGGACAGCTCTATTTCCTGGGTGTGGCAGAGCACCAGTCGTGCCTGCCCCTTTAAGGGCTAGATCAAACACTCAGCAGGTGTTTGATTACAGCAACCATTTTAGAACTCTGGCTGCCTATATAAACAAGAGCAGTTTACTGCTAGAAGCCAGGCAAGAAACATTGCCTGGCTGAGTTGCTGTATGGGAACACCTTGCAGGTAGGAGCAGGAGACTCTGGTCCTGGGCATGACCTAAAACTACAGCCTGCCAGAAGTGGGTGGTCTGGTAGGGCTTCCACTGGTGCAGAGCCCCCAGGAAATGCCAGGCCAGTTACCACCCCAGTGAAAGGTGGGTAGGGGTGCCTTAACCCCAGCCCTTACCTTTGGGTGGGTTATATGTTCCATCTAATCCAGGGAAAGCCAGGTAAGCTTCTTGAAGTGCCTGAGCCTGCTGGGGTGGGTGACCCTGCGGGGCCAGGCAGGCTTTCTGAAGCACCTGAGCCAGGAATGTGGGACCCTGATCCCTGAGTGCAGGCAGGAAGCTAACACCTAACCTGAGGGACCCAATTGGTCAATGCTGGGGCCAGGACCCAGATAGAGGTCAAAAGGGCCAGGGGCCCACTGTGAGGGACACCCATATAGAGCAGAGAAGCTTGGGATCCTGACTGGCCTGAGATGGGAGCCAGGGCTTAAAGAAAAGCTGAAGGCCCCAGGGAAGGGGCGACCACTAATGGGCGAAGGTGAAGGTTGAGTTGGCTATCTGAGATGCCATTCATGAGGTTTGTGCCATGGTGTAGGGGTGGAATGGAGCTGTGGATAGCCCCCCCAATAGCAAGGTATATAATGGGCAGCCTCCCAGCTAATTATTACATCAATATTATTACATCAAGGTGTGGCAGGTGAGAGAGGCGGGTGGCTGACCTATAGACAGGGATAGGCCGGTGCTTCCACTGAGCATGAAAGCCTGCCCCTATCACACTGGGCAGCAGCATTGAATGGAACAGGTTTGGCTGCTGTCAGCTATGACAGTGGGTAAATTTTGCACATTTCCCCCAAAGGTGGTGCTTAGAGCTGCTGCCTGCCCCAGTCATCCACTCCTCACTTACACTACCAATGCCTACATTTTTACAGCAGCCTAAATGCCACTAAAACTTGCTTCCTTTTTTCCTAAGTAAGCCTCCCCTCTTGAGGAAACACTATAACAGAACTCAAACCTGTTACCTTGACCACTCTGATCTTACATTTGTAATGACTGGTGGCAGTGTTTTGATGACAAAACCTTCACTAATGTATCAAAATGGGGTTGAAATGTGTATTTTTCAAGTTCAAACCTAGAAAGAATCATTTTTCAAAATTACAAATAAATAGTTTGAGCTGCAATGGTGAGAAAGAAATGTAAAACTAAGTGACTGATTGTAGCAGTGGCACATGATAGCACTTATACCGACTGGCGTAAATATATTATATGTTTTTAAATTTTATTATCTCATGTGAGTAAATAGTGTCCCACTTGTTTAAGCAAATAACAATTATGTTTTGTAGCAAACATCCAGCAGAGAAGCTGTGAACAGAAGTACTACCCAAATTTGAGTACTTATTCAGATTCCAAGTAGTTCTCAACATCATTATTTGAAAAAATTCATAAAAGCAGGTACTTGTCTGAGAAACTATGTAGGCAGTTCCATGAAAACTCTTATTAATAGGTGAACAATAATACTGTTTATTATTTGCTCTTCATTACTTGTTCTAAACAGATGGTGGAAACATGATGCCACCTGACTTAGGTGGCCACTCATTACTGGGTTGAGTGATATCAGGGTTTACTGATGTCCAGGCTTTTAAACTTACTCATAGGGTAGAATATATTTCAATAGAGAGATTGTATTCTTCCAGTCACAAGAGTTTAGATTACCTGTCCTCCCACTGGCAATAAAATGATATAGAGTATGGAGCTTGCATAGGATTTCTGCAAACTCAGGTATTCAGTACAGTGTAGATCATGATAAATCAGTAACTCATCAATGTCCATTACCACTGCCACAAAGATCTTTGAGCAGATGAAGTTATAACGTATTACCACAACTAGTGGAGCTTTCAGTTCCCAGTCTACAAACAAGGGTAATAATCCTCAGATTTAGCCATTACCTGGGGATGAATATATGACTTCAGCACCACAACCAAGACCTCTAATGCTTGAGCTAAAGGAGTAACTCCATTAACTCAAAGGAATAGCAATGGTTGTCAACTAATGATTTTTATGTCCATATTATGGGGTTAGCCTGTTTTGTGATTTTGAGATTTTGGGACTGACAATACCTGTAATAAGCAGCAGGTTTCCGCTAGTGAAAGAGGGACATGAATCTTGAGCTACTTTTAAGGGAGAGAAAGAATGGCAATAGCTGCTGCTGCCACTGTTGCTGACCTAGCCACCTCTCCCATACAGGGAACAAAAACTGCTTGTTACACCTCGGATTAAAGGAGATGGGGTGGTCAATTATTTTGGCTAAAGGGCCACTTAATGAGTTTTAGTGAGCAGTCAAAGGCTGCAAGAGTAGCTCCACCCTTGACAGGTAACCCAGCCCGTGGTCGCCATCTTGGGACCAGAAGTCTTGCTCCTAACCCCTGACCTTTGCCACTAGAAGTCCCTCCCCTTGCCCTAGTACTCCCTTGGGGTGGGAAGGGGAGGTTGCCATCTTGGAACCAGAGAAAAATAATCCTTTACTGTAACATATTTTAATTTTTAAAAATATTTTGTCCTGATTTGTGTGTGTTTGCATAGTGTACATAGAGACACTTGCATAATAGCTCAAAATAGTCATACTCTTGTATATTGTGGTGGGGGAGGTGTTTGAGGGAGTGTGTGGTTGGGGAGTGGGCGTAATTGTGTGGTGGGATGTGTATGTGGGTATGGTGGATAGGTCTATGTGTGGGTGTGTGGGGTGTGGGGTGTAGGTGTATGCGTTGGTATGGTGGGATGTGTGGTTGGGGTGGAAGGGTGTATATGGTGGGGAGTAAGGTATGTGGGGGGTGTGGGAGTGTGTGAGAGGTTGTGGGTGGGGGCATGGTGGGGGATAGGTCGGGCATGGTTGGAGGGGATCCCTAGAGTCCCCAGAGTGTGTGAGTCCCTCCAGCCACATGTGGCATCAGTGTGTGGGACAACCCAACCCAGCTCCATAGCATGCATCTTCCCATGCTTCCACCCAAGTCTCCAGCTGCACATGGCAACAGTGTGTGGGACCAGTCCCACCCAGCCCCTTTCCCCCAGTGGGAGTCCCTGGCCTCCAGCCCACTGTACCCTTACCTAAATTTCCGCTGTCACAGGGAGGGAGGGCTGGGAAACAGCCACAGGGTGGCCAGGCAAAAGCCTCTGCCAGGCAGACGCTTCTTGTCTCCAGTACTCCACCTTGAGGCTGGAGGTGGGGCAAGTAAGGCCAGGTGGGGTGTGATTGCTTAGCAACCAGAGCTGGAGCTGCTTCGGCAGTGGGCACTGACACCACCTGCATGGAGATGCTGACTTCTAGTGGGGCAGCTGAGGTCCAGGGCTGGTAATAATGTCTTTCAGCTTTCAGAGGGGCCCCACAGGCTTCATGAAATCAGGCCAGATCCAGCCCCTGGGCCAGATTTGACCACCCCTGCATTAGAGAATAACATCAGGACAGTCACATAACCATGTTGCATTATAGGACTTACAGTTTGGACAGGGCCTATAGTTTATAAAGGGGAATGAGGGTATAAGGGACTCAAATTAAAACTCCCATGAGGAACCATAGAAGCTCTGGGGGACAGAGCTTAAACATTTCAAACACCACCAAAATTATTTCACATCAGAATTTTAAGTCTTATAAAAAAAAATTCAGTACATTGACTTTTTACTGATTTGGCATTTTTCCATAGAATTAGAATTTCAGTGTTCAATTTCCTCTACTTTGTAAGGATTGTGAGAAGATCACCTAACTCCTCTCTCCCAAATCTTTGCATATCAAATAAGTCAGACAAGAGGAGCTTCCAGTTCCTATCAGTTATATCTACCTGAGGAAGTAGGTTTGTAGCAGACCCAGGAATAAGTAATTTAATCTGTTCTGTAAAATTTAATCATTAATTCAGGCATGAGTGGACCTAGGATTTTAAAAAAGGGGGATGCAGATTTTGTGGTACATTATCACATACACAACACACACTTTTTTCTGGGTGAAAAGAAACTAGAAGCTTTACTACTATCGTAGGGGCCCAGGACTGTACAATTCAATTTAAGATCAAAGCAAAAACAAATAGATTTTTAATTGGAATATGCATTGA